AAGGATCCGAAACTTGATTGCATTTATTTACATATTTTACCTTTCAGTTACAGCCCTCAACACATTGTTCTGTGTGAGTTTCAGATGTAGAGTGGAGGGGTCAGAGACAACCGCGTACTCTATAGCGTAGTCCCCCGCCCCATACTTCCAGTTCCCACCTGGCCCCAGGCATAGTTACCACATTACTGACTGTCATCCCTGTACTATGATTTACAACCCTGTGACTGGTCTGTAACTACCAATTGGCACCTCTCAATCCCTTCACTTTTTTCACCCAGCCACCCCTCACCTGACACCATTTTTAACCTGTCTTCCTTCACCCTGCAAGGATTTGACACAGCAGGGTGAGCCTCTCTTGCCCCTTGGAGAATATAAGATACTTAGAATATGAAGTGGTTTTGTGTATTTTGCATATCTGGCTAGAGTTTTAAAGTGGAGAGGTTTTATTGTTCTTTGATGTGATTGAATTGCAGGCAGGAACCTAGGAATGCCCAAACTCTGCCCTGCCAGTACTACTACTTGAGGAGTTCCAGAGGGGAGCTGTGACAGACAGAAATTAACACTGTACCTCTAGATCCTCGGTGTAAAATTCTAATCCAGCACTGATTTGAAGGCTGGTTTAGGAGGAAGTGGGGCTGCAGTTATTCTCCCCAGTCCCTGCTCCACAAGGTCCCCCTCCTCCAAAACAGCCTGGACCCAGTAGGCTCTGACAGGACTGGAACAGTTGGATGTAGGTGGGGACAGGGACAGATAGGAAAACCGCTGGCAGGCGGCCAGTGCTAAAAGTGTCTCTGAAATCACTTCTGACCCCATGTCACCACCACCCCCATCCCTGGTTCAAGCCAGTTCCTCGGGCCTCAGGAACTTCAGCTTGGATTCTTCCTCAAACCCTCAACTTTTCCTAAGTGTTACATTATTCTGTAAAATAAGACACATTTTTTACCAATAACTTTATTGATTTGGATATTTTGAGTATTTCCTGCAATTGGCGTCTAGTGGGTAGAGGCCAGGGTCCTGCTAAACATCTCCCACTGCATCAGTTGGTCCCACAGCAAAGAATTACTTGACCAACCCTGGCTGGTGTGGCTCAGTGGATGGAGCATGGATCTGTGAACCGAGAGGTTGCTGGTTCAATTACCAGTCAGGGCACATGCCTGGGTTGCACAGGTTCCCAGTGGGGGACACGTGGGAGGCAACCACACATTGATGTTTCTCTCCATCTCTTTCTCCCTTCCCTTCTCTATAAATAAATAAAATCTTTAAAAAGTTATTTGGCCAAAATGCCCATTGTATACCAAGAGGCTTCACAAACCACTTTTGACTGATCAAGTTTGATCAGTCAGAGCACCTTCTCCATACAATGCACAAATCTTGCTTTGCATTTCAGTTGCATATTTATCTTTCTTGAAATGGTAAAGCATAATATGACACAAATGCTGCATTTTTTGCATCTTTGATATTAAAATGGCTGCACAAAAATTTGGCAATTGATGTTTTTTTTAATGCTGATATGACAGCTGTCACAGTACAATCTAACAAAACTGTTTGAAATGAAGTTAAAGACAACTAAGCATGACCAGAGCCATCATACTGACAAAAAATGTAATGGATTTTTTTTGGCCAGCCTAATAAAAATTGCACAGCTAAAAACAAAATATGCCAAAAAGATTGATGGAATAGAAATTTCACAGCCTATTCCTTCTTTTCTCATCACATAGCTGCTTTGTGCATCTGACTCCTGAGGTAAATTTAGCATCGCATTTCTTACTTGATAGATTTACAGTGGATTCTCTTCATGTAAGGTCATTAGAACAGGTAACATGTTATATTGCATTTTCCTCAAGGTGGATAAAAGTGGCCACAAATTCTTTGCAGTCCTTCCAATCAGCTTGAATTTGTGCTGACATTAGGACTTGCTTGACCCGTAGAAAGTGACAATATATGGCTTCTGAGCTTTGACTTCCAAAGGCCTTGCAGCTTCTACTCTCACGCACTGGACTTTGTGAACAAGCCACCCTGTGAACAAGTGTATCAGCCTGAACTAGTCACCTTAAGGATGAGACCTTATCAGGGGTGTTGAACCCACGGCTATGAATGCGGCCCAACCCCAAATTGTAAATTTACTTAAAACAGTGTGAGAGATTTTTTTTGTGATTATGGTTGCAGTGTATCTAATGTGTGGCCCAAGACAGCTCTTCTTCCAGTGTGTCCCAGAGTCGCCAAAAGGGTGGACTCCCCTGCTACATAGAGTGGCTAAGGGAAAAAGGCCCAGCTGTTACAACCATCCCAGCTGAAGCCCCCGACATGGAGTGAGATCTCCAAATGCATGTTCTCAGCAGAACTATTAAGCTAAGCCCAGATTACACTGCCAAACTAAAGAATGGGAGCAAATACATGCTTGCTAGAAGTCACCAAGTTTTGCAGTGGTTCGTTACTCAGCAATAGACATAGATACGAGCTTAATCATGCCCTCAATCTAGTTAATGAAAAAGAAGCATTTCCAATTAAACGAGCAACTGTGCCCAGAAGTGCTTTGCTCCATGCCAAATGGGGAAATTCATGGGTAAATGGGACTGTTAAGCATTATTTTCCTTTGTTGAACAGTTTCATTCAAGTTCCCATGCTGAAAATTTTCAACACATTTCTCAGAATTAGCTTTATGTAATAGCTTTATTCTGTGAAAAAGACATTTTCCTTAGTGCTTCAATAAAACACACCTTTAAAAAATATATATATTTTATTGATTATGCCATTAGAGTTGTCCCATTTCCCCCCTTCATTTCCCTCCACCCTGCACACTCCTTCCCCACCATTCCCCCCCTTTAGTTTATGTCCACATGTCTCAGGTTCTTTAGATTCTATGTTTCCCCTACTATTCTTACCCTCCCCCCTATTTTCTACCTACCATCTATGCTACTTATTTTCTGTACCTTCTCCCTCTTTCTCCTCCTCCCACTCCCCTGTTGCTAACCCTCCATGTGATCTTCATTTCTATGGTTCTGTCCCTGATCTAGCTGTCCTCTTAAGTTTGCTTTTGTTTTAGGTGTGGTTGTTAATAACTGTGAGTTTGCTGTCCTTTCACTGTCCATATTTTTTATCTTCATTTTCTTAGATATGTCCCTTTAACATTTCATATAAGGGCTTGGTGATGATGAACTCCTTGAATTTGATCTTATCTGAGAAGCACTTTATCTGTCCATTCTAAATGAAAGCTTTGCTGGATAGAGCAATCTTGGTTGTAGGTCTTTGGATTTCATGACTTGGAATACTTCTTTCCAGCCCCTTCTTGCCTGTAAGGTCTCTTTTGAGAAATCAATTGACATTCTGATGGGAACTCCTTTGTAGGTGACTGTCCCCTTATCTCTTGCTGCTTCTAGGATTCTCTCCTTCATTTTAATCTTGGCTAATGTAATGATGGTGTGCCTTGGTATGTTCCTTCTTGGGTCCAACTTCTTTGGGACTCTGAGCTTCCTGGATTTCCTGGAAGTCTACTGTCTTTGCCAGATTGGGTAAATTCTCCTTTATTATTTGTTCAAATAAGTTTTCCACTCATGGCTGTTCCTCTTTCCCTTCTGGTACCCCTATAATTCAGATGTTGGAACGTTTAAAGATGTCCTGGAGGTTCCTAAGCTTCTCCTCATTTTTTTGAATTCCTGTTTCTTCATCCTTTTCTGTTTGGTCATTTTTTTCTTCCTTCTGGTCCACTCTCTTGATTTGAGTCCCAGTTTCCTTTCCATCACTATTGCTTTCCTGTGCATTTCCCTTCATTTCACTTAGTTTAGCCTTCATTTGTTCCTCTAATTTGTGACTAAAATCAACCAGTTCTGTGAGCATCCTGATCACCAGTGTTTTGAACTGTGCATCTGAAAGTTTGACTATTTCTTGGTCACTTAGAATTATGGGCTCTAGGGCTTTGAGTTATTCTTGAGCCATGTTTTGCTCTGTTCACGAGCCGTAGGTGTTCACCAGGGCAGGGCTACGCAGGTCGCTGGTTTGTGACGCTGTACGTCACAGGCGGGGCGGGGTCACAGAGGGACAATAGTGGTCCCCTCTGCTGCTTCCCTCTGCTGGGGCCTGCCAGTCTGTCTCACTGCTCGCTCCTTCACTGGTTTATCTGCGCGAGAATGTGTGACCGCGGTCAACCTACCACCTTTTGCCCTCAGTGGGTCCGCCTGGTGCTACTCCACACCCGGGATCTGCCCACAGCTGCCTGTGCTCCTAGGTCGCACACCTGGGTCGGTCTGGTGGCTCTTTCCTGCCTGACCCAGCTCCGCTGCTGGCGCTGCCCCTCTTACTGGTCTGGCTGAGTGGTTCGTTGTTGTCCGACTTCTGTATAGTTCAATTTTCTGTGCTTTGGCTGAGTTTTTCTTGCGAAAACTTTGTTGTTTTTAAACTTGGTTGTGCAAGAAGGCACAATGTTTCCACCTATGCCTCCATCTTGGCAGAAGTCTAAAACACACCTTTTATCTGTCGCTTTAAAAGAAAGTCGTCCCAATTTTTCTAAATTTCCATCCTATCGAGTAACCATAGAGCTTAAAGTCAAAGGCAGTAAAAGAAGATAAATATTTTTTTAGGCCAGATGTTAAAATGGGAGATAATAGTTTTCATCAGAAAACCAGAATGCTCTTTTAGTCAAAGATGTTAGAAGGAACAGGAAACAGGGTGAGTGCTACACAAGTGGAAGACAAGGCCATTTAAACAGATTCAGAGCCAAACTAATTTTGTTTTCCAGGCTATTGTGATTTGTGGTGAATGGGGACAGCTGGTTCTGATCCTATGGAACTGGTAGGGCCAGGGTTAAACATCAGTTTCTGTTCTTTGATAGTCTGGTGGTGTAATTCTTCAGATGCTTGCATTCCAGGTTTCCTCTGTATCTTACTGACTACTTTTTAAATGAGAATTGTGGGTCAGGATCTCCACTCATGCTGTGATCTGTCCGTGGTACTTGGAAAAGCTCACTAGCAATGTGAAAAGATTCCCAGAAAACCATAAAAACACAGTGAATTTACTTAGTTTATTTTTATTCTTTTAAAAGATTTTATTTATTTATTCTAAGAGAGAGGGGAAGAGAGGGAGGAAAGAGATTGATGTGCAAGGTAGGTTGCCTCTCAGGGGCCCCCAACCAGGGACCTGGCCCACAACCCAAGTCATGTACACTGACGGAGAGTCAAACCAGTAATCTTTTGGTTTGCGGGATGATGCCCAGCCCACTGAGTCACACTGGTCAGGGTAAACACAGCCGATTTAAAGCTACCTGAGATGGTAAGATGGAAATCACACTGGGACATTTGTTTAGGTTTAGGTAGCATTGGTAAAGTAAGACTACAAGGATGTAGCATCTCATACATACACCCCTCCCAGCTCTTAAATATTTTTAAGGTAGAATTGTATATGGTAGGAATCAAAGAAAGCTAGAAAGACAATTTAATGGCAGTCACAGAGTTAACAAGAAAACTGTGTCATTTTTTTGGAGGTCTTTCAAGTGAGTTATTGTGCTTTTTTTCTGAGATAACATGTTTTGCTGCTGAGGTTGAAAAGTTTTGGTGCTTAGATATGTGATGGGCTCTATACATAGAAGAAGTACTGTATAGTGATTAAATACATGGGTGCTGGTGGGCTTGTTCTGTATCCTGATTATGGTGGTTGTTAAATGAACCTATACAAATATAATCTGTAGAACTGTATATCTAAAGGTAAACAAACCAGTTTCACTATATTATTAAAAAACCCCACATGGGTGTTGAAGCTAGACCGCTTGGGTTTGAATCAGAGCTCCATCACTTACTAGGGTGTGTAACCCTGGACAAGTGGCTTGGGCATCAGTGACCTCATCTGTAAATGCAGGTAACAATTCCTCCTGCATGGGGTTGTTGTAAGGATTCAATTAATAGACGTACAGCACTCCAAATAGTGCCTGGCTCAATGCAAGAGTTAGCTACTGTTACAGGACTGTAAAGAAATAAATGATAAGGTACATGGGCTACTGTATGACTAGAGGGACTATGTATGAGCAGTCTGAAACACAGCTAATGTGAAGTACTACTGCCATTATGCAAGAAAGGAGGAAACTCTAGAAAAGTGTAAATCCTGCTAAGCTTATTTAAGCCTGCTCTCTTACTATTGTCCAAGGGGGACACAGACTAACCAACCAAACAACCAAAACAAAAAATTCTCTCATTCTCCTAATTCATTCTCCTAATTGAATGTCTATTTTCCAGGACCTACTGAAAACAAATTATCATGGCAGTTTTTCACTTCCCAAATCACCTGATGATGTGTCCTTTAGCACATGTGTGTCTTTTTTTTCTTCGTGGCCTCGGTTTTCTTAAATTTACTCTAGCTATAGGCTGAAGGTACTGCTGATGTTTGTGATTAAGCCTCATATCTACTGAGTCTACCAATGAGAATGTTAAGACCCAGTACATTCTTCTACTGGGTTCATTACCCAGAAGATAAATTCTGAGAATTATTTGGGAAGTAAAAGGAAGCTTTTGAAAAACAGAGTTTCAAGCCATGGGTGTTTTAAGGATGATCTAAACATATACTTAGAAATATTCAGATAGTGAGATTCCTTTACTAAATGGATGCTCTTTGACAAGAAGGGGACAAGTGAGGCATCATTCCTATATGATGTTCAGGTATTCATCGTGAACCAGTCCCTTGCCACTACAGGTCATTAATGGGGCAGACAACAATGACAGAGAGACATTAAGAGCAGGCAGAGGTGCTATCTGCTCAATTCACATGACTCTGGAGTCTTGTTTTTAATGTTTAAGCATTACTTGCTGACAGTTGAGGGAAAACAATCCCCCTGGGAGGAGGAAAGCAGCCAAGAGAAAATGGAACAGTCTGAGAAAGAATGGAAATGATTCTATTGCTCCACGAGGCAGAGCCAAGTGGGAGGGCAGCCAGGGTAAATGATCAGAGGCTGTCTACGAAACAGCTCGCCTCGGCACTGGGTGCCTACCCAGTGAAGCAACAACAGCCCTGCCACGGCCGGGACAGCTGAAGCTCCAAGTTCATCTGCAGGAAACGTCTTGAGCTCCCTTTTGCAATAAGTGTCTGAATGATCAGAACACACAAGTGCACAACATTGCATCTGTACGCCACTTCTCCTTGGTCATGGGAAGTGTTGCAAGTAACATAAACAAATGTAGACTCTGGGGAACTACACAGTAAAGCCCTGGTGATGGGTACAGCTTGCCGTTTATGGTGACTAAAAATGCAAAGTATGTTAAACTGAACTTCGTCTCAGTAACTGGAAAAAATGGTGCTGTTTTAAAAAGGAGAAAAAAGGCGTAACTTTAAAAAATAAAACCAAGTATCACATAGAAAGTAACAAGCCCTTTAAGGGCACAAGCTTTGTCTTTTTCAGTGTCATGAATACAAAAGTGACGTATCGACCACCACAAGGCTGCAGAACCGAGTAAACGATCTAGTATAAACTTGCTTAATTGTTTCCTCGCCATTCAGAACAACTCGTTCCGTGGAAGTAAGGGGGCTGTCCTGCCACTTAGCCATTAATTTGTCTTCTTTACCAACTCCTGCAAGCTGCCATGTGTAACTGATTACTGATTCAAGGGAAATCTTTATACTTAGATTAATGGAGTAAGGAGCAACAGTAAACTAAGACTCAGAAACCAATTTTCTTAAAGCAAAATCCACAGTTGAATAGGCCGGCAGTGATCGTGGGCTGCATTAGGTTAGCGGAACATGAAGTAAATTAATGCCAGAGTCTCGCAGAAGTCCTTGGCTGTCTAAGCACACAGTGCGCCTTTTTTGTGTATGAGGTGTCAGAACTACCCTTTCCCGGCTTTCCTGCTTTTTTACTGAGAATTGTAAAAGGTTAGGACTGAGAAAACTCTGCCATTTCCTCACTTTATTGGTGAGAAAATGAAGACCTGAAGAAATGACTAACATAACTAGGGAAACTGAAACTTAGTAAACTGCACTGTTTAAAACTCCTAGCAAGGCACCTTGGAACATTTTTAGATATGCCTCAGTATAAGATTTATGAAACAAAAACATTGAATTTTAGAGGTAAGAGACTTGAGAATATCAGTTGTGAATGTTAAAAAATGGAATTTTTGTTAGGCAAGAGGCCTAAAAGCCTAGAGAGAAGACGGAGGAGTGCTGTTCTTCCTAAAATATGTATTGAGAAGTTACTGGAGTAATGACGCCATCAGCTTTTAGGTTCTGTATTTCTCTACAAAATGCCAAGTTTACCATATTTCCTTCACTTTTTCTAAAGAGTAGGCCTAAGCTCCAAACTAGGAACAGCAGAGAAAAATATAATGGCCACAATTTAACTTTGTAAAAATAATGGTATTTCATTCTGCCCTAATGAAAAACTAGAAATCAGCTACCAATTTGAAGTTGGGGAGCTACTGCCCTCTAGAGGGTGAGTTGAGGAACGTCAGCGGTACTTTTAGGTTGCCACAGTGACTGCAGGAGTCAGGGGAGCGGTGATTGGCATTTATTACCTGGGGATGAGGGACAGGCGACACACTTAAGTGCAGTTTTAAACATAAAAAGCTACCTTCCCCAAGATGCCAATAGCATTCACGAGATCTACAAAGTTTTTACAAGTTACATTTATTCTAAGAGGACTCGGTGAGCAGGGGGGCCAGAGGGTACACATTGACAGAGAACGGAAGTTTATGCCGCCAGAGCTGAGTTGCTCTGTTGGTTAGTGTCTTCCGATCCTCTAAATAAATAAGTGGAACACCCAATCGACATTTCTCTCCCTTCCTCTCTCTCTAAAATCAATAAAATAAAATACAACAATTTAAAGAAGTTTATGTTAAACCTGAGTCTATAGGAACTTCACAGACGTGACTGCATTTCAGGCCAGCTTATCCCGCTAGCATTTATCTCAATTCCTGGCAAGGCATCTGGGACTTTACTTGCCAATTGCTCATTGTATGTATTCATCTAGAAATAAAAAAGGTAAAAATTTCCGATTAATGTAATGTTACACAGTGTATACAAATGTGAAAATGGTTCAACTCCCTGATAGTTGCAGAATAGACTGGATGCTAACAAGATATAACTTGAAACTTTTTTACCTAAAATTTCAGAGACTTTTAATTCATGTAAGGTAAACTTTTTGTTCTCTAGTGTTCAGCACTAAAAATCTGAAATGGCCCCCACTCCCTTGCATCTCCCAGCTTTTTGTGGGTGGGTCTGGCCACGTGACTGCTGACCAATGGACTGTGTGAAATGACGTATGCACCTTCAGGCTCTGCCCCTTCTTATAAACAGGGAAGCTGCTTGCTCTTCATCTCCACCCCTCTTCCCCCTCACTAGGGAAGGATGGCCACTTGAGCAAACACCAGACTAGAGATGGAAGCCTCGGAGAGTTCCACCAGCTGGAACCTTGGATGACCACACAGTGCAGAGCCACCTACTCATGTCTACCTTATTTGGAGAAATTGATTTTTTTCCACTTTTTCATATGCCAATTGCTAAACTGTCCCCTCAACTAGACTGCAAATAAGAAATGACATCTGTTCTCAATAAAAAAAGATAGTAGTGAGAGAAACTCGAATGTAGCAGAACTCCTCTTTAGATATATGAGTCTTTGGGTCACATGTATGTACACACCCTATAAGAAAACTTGTATTTACAAACTGAGTACATTTCAAACAGGCAGAATAATGAATAATAAAAAAATTTTAGCTATGTAGTTTAGCTAAAATATTCAGCAAGAGCAAGGACAGCTTTACATCTTCATCTGTTTCTTCTTCTGCAGATTGTATACAAGGGAAGGAAGCTTCTTGGTTTTATAGGCAGCGCTTCTCCTGATGCGCTGTCCTTTGATGTTGACGATATGTGGCAGCAGCGGGGGCCGGACTGTCAGCGCTGTTCCTTGAGGGGTATGGGCTCGCAGATGTAGCCTGTCCCTATGCTGAGGCGTTACTGCAACCCAACCTATGCAGGCGTGTGACAGAGCACAGAATGGTATCAGCAACTCTCATCCCCCTCCCCCCCCCACCACCAATCACGCAGTGGAGTTTCCCACAGTCGGGGAAATCACAGGGTCATCACATCCCGAGTGCAACGGACAAGCCTTGCCCTGGGAGAACCACCTTCACGATCACAGTATCTCCCCTGCCAGGTACGTATGTTAGCAACTGTCTTACTACTGAAAACACTAAACCTGCCCTAGAAAGGTACTTCAGTGGGTCAGAGGGCTGTCCTGATACGCCAAGGCTGCAGGTTTGACCGCCAGTCAGGGCACATACAGGGCACATACAAGAATCAGCCAATGGCTACATAAATAAATGGAACAACAAATTGATGTTTCTCTCCCTTTGCTCTTCCTTTCTCTCTAAAATTGATAAATAAAAAATGGATAAATTCTAAAAAAGAAAACCACTGAAGTTTAAAATGGAGCACTGAAGGTTACTGTTCTCTTTCACTCTATTTTTAAAAGAGCATACAATGCATTTGTGAAAAGGTACAAATTTATTTTCAGAGTAGCTTGCATTTATGAATAAACTAGCATGTATACTTTAAAACACTCACCTTATGTTGGTTAAGGCAGATTTCTACAAAAATGTAAGAAGTCTACTTTATTCCCCTTTAAAGAAGTGCCTGGTGTAAAATTACCTGCAGAGGAAAACTTGATGTCGGCCACTGCTTCGGATTCCCCAAGTCCTTCTTCTAAGGTAATGTCTTCAGCAACAAGTGGAGGAAACTCCGCCATTCGTTCTTTTCCACCCATTGGAACCTTCCGTGGGGATAAAGCAAAGATGTTTGGAAATGGAAATTCCAATTAAATTCCCTGTAACTCTAATGTTAATGAAAACATGGATAATTCTGTACAGGGATCAAGAGTAAAATCTTTTTAATCATTAACTGTTGGAAGAACCCCAAAGCACTTCTAGGTTGAACGAGAAGCACAGAAAGCATTCAGTTCCCAGTACCAGGGGCGATGTGTGGGTGGTGACCTGCTGGTGGCAGAATCTTGCTTTATGAGTTTACACTGTTTTTACAGCCCTCCATAAAGCCTTACACTGAGCAATGTTGGGCGATTAAAGCAACGTCTTTCCAAATACCTTAGGTTTCCTAAGCCTGGCATCCCACAAAGATGAACCCCTGCCTCATGACAGGCCAAGGGTACACATATAAGATACAGCTTCTATGTTTACAGATGTTTCCATGAATTGGAAGTAACTGGATAGTAACTATTCATTAACAGATGTCTCTGTGTTTAGCACTAGGGACACAAGAATAGATATTACAGTATGGTTTTGTCTCCCAGGAAGATCAGAAGGTGGAAATAATAGGTAAACCAATTAAGGAAGAGATGTGATGAGAGGCACATACTAAGTGCTATGGTTGTGGAGGAAGAAGTAATGAATGGGTTCTGGTCAAGGAAAACATTAATGAAGAAGCAATGTCTCAGCAGTACTTTGAGAAGCAGGTCGAAGTTAGTGGAAAGTTATGCAGGATTAGCATTTATGTACAGATACAAAACTGGAGAAGGGACGAGTTCAGGAACTGTAGTTTACCTGTCCAGGGTACGCTGTGGTTATGTGTGTTAGCGATGAGGCTATCAGTGCAACCTTCTCAGTAATGTGAAACTACCAAGGGATTACAGAGAGGAAAGAGAACAGAGATGACAACAACCAACGCCGTGACCTGCTCTGTTTGTACTTGGGGAAGATCTCCCCAGTGCAGGATGTTCGTCCTCAGCACCGCTGACATTCTGGACTGAATGGTTCTTTATCGGGGAGTGGAGGATGTCCTGTGCAGTGCAGGATTCTTAGCAGCATCCCTGGCACCTACCTGGCACCTACCACGCTGTGAAAACCAAAAATGTCTCCAGTCATTGCCCAATGTCCTCTGGGGGCGAAGTCTGTGCTAGCTGAGAACCACTGCTCTTGTGGCAGGGAGGTACGTTTGAAGTGGGGGTAAAAACTGGAAGCTGAGAAAATATTTAAGGACCTCAAAAACAGCCTAATGAAAGCAGTTTATAGCTTGAACTCCAGGGCTAGATTCAGAGAGAAACTGTTTATGCCACACTGGGAGAGAAGACTGGAATCTCTGCTTTAGAAAGTATCAGCGGTGTCCATCCCAAAAACTACACAGATATATGGGGTAGAGCAACACAGAGTTCATGTTTCTGAAAGCCATGTCATAAAAACCAAGGAAGTCTTCTGTTGCAGAAAAAGCAGCAGATCCTAATTGCCAATTGCCTTTATGTCCCTACCCACTCGGCAAATCCTACAAAGTCTCTGGAATGTTAACTGTAGGACAGTTATTTGAAGGGCAGATGTATGTTTTGTGTTTTGACTTATTTTTGGTTGCATGAGCGTGAATTAATGTCAAACTACCTCTCACTGGATGTACCTGGTACTTCTGCAACTGCCCTGTTCCAGCATTACCGCTGCCACAGACACTCGCCCAGCACTTAGCCCAGTGCCCTGACCTTGACCTCATGATGTAGGTTCAACACAGAGGTAAAATAACTTTTGCCTAAAGTCACACAGCGTTGTTAAGTGGTGGAACAGAGTGGAATATGATGGCAGTGTGGCTCCTGTGACCTTAACCATTTTACAATACTCACCAGCCAACAGTGTCTACAGCATGTCTTGTTAAGGAGCTGAAAATAGTACCTACTCAATCTTGGTGAATTTGGTAAGAACAATGTCAGTGGCACATAAGGGCCAACAGGGACTTTAGAGGAAGGGGCATGAGGAGCAGGAGCAACCTTGATTGTAAAGAAAAGGAATAAAGAGGACCCTGAGTTTTGTTTATGGAGATGAAAGAAACATTAACATATTTAGAGGCTGAAGAAAGGAGCTAGTAGAACAGGAGAGAAAAGGTGAGATATAGTCTGTACGCATCTGGGATTAAGAAGCCGGGAGGAGGGTTTTTCTGCCCAGACCAGGGCTTCTCAACATTGGCAGTATGGCATTTTGGACCAGATAACTCTTTGTTGTGAGGGGCTGTCCTGTGCACTGCAGAATGTTTAGCATCATCCTTGACCTCCACCTATTAAGATGCTGGTAGCATCTCCCAGTTCTGAGAAAATCTGTCACTTCTCCTCACTCAGCGTTATCCAGTACAACTCTCTGCAATGATGTGACTGCTGAGCCATTGGAAAGTGGCTAGTGCAAATGACGAGCAAAATGTAAAATTTTATTTAATATTAAATTAATTAATTTAAATAGCCACATGGAGCTACCATATTAGAATTATAGTCTAGAGAAAACACAGCTCTGTAGCTATTCTAGGATCCGTCCAACATCCCTTTTTCTAACAGGGCCCACTTCACTTTAGAGTCAAATCCTCAAGGAGAACAAGGTGAGGGGATAGCTAGCTGATGGTATGACAAAGATGGTTCTGCTTTCTTAGCAGAGCGTGGGGTGTCTAGCATCATGGTGCACGTTAACTTAACTATGCAATCACCACAACGTGTCACCTCACCTTGAGTAATGTATGACCTGCATGCTTCTGGTACACAGCATCCGCCTTGTCCAAGGAAGTAATGTGCACAGGAAGGAAGTTGGAAGCCACAACCGTAAACCAAGCTGACTGACTTCCCTTAAGAAAGAAAGAAGTTATTTGGCACAATGAAACAGTTGCAAAAGCAGCACATTACACGATGCAATTAAAAAAAAAATAAGCAAGCTCCCTTTGTAAGTACTGGCATGGCAGCTGTAATCAAACTATATTAATCAAACTATATTAATGCCTAAAAATGAGGGCACGGTATGTTAGAAGCGGTGCATTTCTACAATTTATGTAAAACTATGATTCCTTACTTAGTCTTGTTGATATCATTTATTGATACTTTTCTTAAAAAAAAAAAAAAAGGAAATACTATTGCTTCAACTGTCCCTGGGTAAAGTTAGGTTTTAAAAAATTAACATTCTAAAAAATAAAAAAAATTAACATTCTGTGAGCTTTAAAGAAATAGATAAGGGTTTTAAGTGTGTAAGGCTGAATTCCCAACCAACTGTGAACAAACACAAAACCCAAGAAGTGTGCTAAAGCAACGGCCTGCAAGTAGCAAAAAGCACTATTGGACACGACTGTGTATTGTTTCCCTTCTCCTCACTGGGCAAGATGGGAGCAATTCTCCAGATAGTCTGAACCCCCAGGATGATGCTATGTAAGTGACTTCCAGACATAAACCACATATACAAAAGTATACAAATCCTGGGATGTAAAGAAGTGCAGAATCTATTTAATGCATATTAACCCTGTACTTCAAAGGTCTGACTGATGATTTCCATGGGGAACAATACCATAGGGTAGTGGCAGTATCTTTTCTTAATGCCAGCTGTACAGGGTACTCGACATCCTAGTGAAGATACAGTTTTCCTACTACTGTATTCTCCCCCCATTAATTTGTCCTAGGTTTTTACAATGGGCACTTTGAAAAGAAAACAAAAAGTAGCATTCAGTGCTCCATATAGTCATGACCTAGTTATCCACATTTTCCCAGTGTTCATAAATCTGCTTCCCTAAGATAAATCCCGATACTAAGTCATTTTTTAATGGTACATACTGACTTCTCTTACCTGTAGGAAATCTATGCGGCCTATGGCACCCAAAAATAAAACCATTCCTGGTTTAAGCACGTAAGTTCTTGGAACAATGGCATGTGTTGGCAAAACAGCATTTACTTCTTTTTCTGTTAGAAGATTTAAAATCTGTGAAGCAAAGGGCAGATTATTTTAGAGAATTACTTTTATTGAAGATATACTGTGATTTACATGTAAGATAAACTGATGAAGAAATATTCCAGATTTCACCATAAACCAAATGAGTTGCACATAAAATTTATTCATTGTTTCTAAATGAACCAATTTACAGATGCTCTACGCCTGTTTCACAAGTTAATCTTGAGTAATGACAAAATATTTATATAAGTATGAAACTTTCTTATGTCAGCAGCATCCCCCAAATGTCAAAATTGGCAAGAACTGAAAACACTGCTGTTCCATTCCCACAACAGAAATATGTGTCCTCACTATCAAGGCTTTAGAGGGCAGCGGTTTTCAGTTAAAGGTAAGGCAATAAACTATCTGATATCCTAATGGCAAGTGTGCATGCATTAAAGGCAAAATGGTCACAGCATTCTAGGATCAGGTAAAGAGCTTAGAGAACCCCTTTCTAAATTCTGGTCTTTAGTTTCTTTATTTCCCCCAAATACTCAGCAAAAATGAGGAAAGTTATGAATCCTCTGGTTCCTAAGGATGAAGAAAGATTAGTAGTTTAGAAAAAATAGAAACGAAAGTCAGAAAGTATAAGATTCTGGTAAGATCTAAGGAACTCACATCTGATTTAAAGATGAAGAGAATAGAGAAGGTAAAAAAATGGAAAAACAAAATTTTTGTGAACTTGGCTCTTAAGAAAAATAATAAGAATGAAACTAGACCACCGACTTACACCAACACCAGAATAAACTCAAAATGGATAAAACTTGAACATGAGCTGCGACATCATAAAAGTCCTAGAGGAAAACAGGCAGTAAACTTGCAGACATCCCATGTAGCAATACTGCCACCTGTACATCCTCGCAGGGGTATCCAACCTTCTAATGTCTCTGGGCCACACTGGAAGAGAAGAGTTGTCTTGGGCCACACATTCAATATACAAACACTAATGAAAACTGATGAGCAAAAAAACCGGTTTTAAGTAAATTTACAATTTTGTGTTGGGCTGCATTCATAGCCATCCTGGGGTCCATGTGGCTCATGTGCCGTGGGTTGGGCATTCCTGCCAGGGCAAGGGACATAAAGGAAAGACTAAAGAAATAGAACTACATCAAATTAAAAAGCTTCTGCACAGCCAAAGAAAACATCAAAATGAAAATGGAACCAAACATATTGGAAAACCTCTACCAATGACACCTCTGACAAGGGTTTGATCTCCAAAGTACACAAAGAACTCACAGGAAGCCACTCGTGGAAAACAAACAGCCCAATTAAAAAAATGGGCAAAAGACATGAACAGACGCTTCTCCAAGAAGGACATTCAAAGGGCCTAGAAACATATGAAAGGATGCTCAACATCACTAGCCATCAGAGAGATGCAAATTAAAACCACAATGAGATACCACCTCACACTTGGTCAGGATGGCCTACATAAACAAATCAATAAACAAGTGTTAGGATGTGGAGAAAAGGGAACCCTAGTGCACTGTTGGTGGGAATGCAGACTGGTGCAGCCACTGTGGAAAACAGCATGGAATTTCCTCAGAAAACTAAAAATAGAACTGCCTTTTGACCCAGTGATTCCACTGCTGGGATTATACCCTAAGAATACTGAATTCATAGTAGCATTATTTACAATAACCAAGTGCTGGAAACAGCCTAAGTGCCCATCAGTAAATGAGTGGATCAAAAAACTAGGGTACATTTACATTTCAAACAAAATAGAACCAGAGGCATGAAAATGAGAACACACTGACAGCAACTGGAGGGGCGAAGCAGGGAAAGAAGGGGGAAGGGTCTAATCAATGCATGGGTGTAAATGACCCATGGACAGGGACCACGGGTGGGGGGGGGGAAACGACACTGACTGTGGGGTGTGGTGGGCAGGGCAGGAGAGAGTAACAGAACAACAATAAAAAAATAAAAGATTCAAACAGGAATATAATTCGTGTTGCAATATGTTGCATTCGTGTTGCATATAATTCGTTATATGCCATATTTTGAGGTCTCATTCTGCTGGCTAGAATATTTAGCAAATTCTTGCCTTTCTGACTATATGACAAGAGGGTATATATGACTAAAGTAACTGCTATCCCTGACCCAAGTTTAAAATGGGAAAATGAGTTGAAGTAAAAGTGATAGAACATTATTAGAAAACAGTCCAATTACTCCGAAGTTTTTGATTGCTAAGGAAGACTCGACACAACACTAAATCTAGAAGGGAGAAAAAAAGACTCGTATGATTCTATGTTATGGGTCACCAAATAGAACAGAATTCTGAGACGACATTCTAATCCCCATGAGACAAAGGAAGGAAAAGTACCTAAGAAACCAATGTTGTTTCACAGGGAGATACAGAGACAATTAGGTGAATTACAACTGGTCAGTAACCAGATTCAAAGGATGCTGCTTAAGGGACCTATACTTAGGCTGTATCTTGGATGCACACTTGCGTCAATGATATTTACAGTATATTGCTCTGTATAATGTGTACCTTTTTGCCCAAATTTTTGAGGGAAAAATAAGGATGTGCATTATACATGGGTATAATGATCACATACCATGGGTAAAATAAATCCCATGTATAATGATCATAAAACTGTGGGTGTGCATTATACACAACAAAATACAGTATGATTTCTTTCAACCTCAAAATCTACGGTTCTGTAAATGTCTCCCTAAGGTAAGAAGCACAATAACGTAAGTAGGGTGTCAGCAGTGAAGTCCAAGAAGTGAAATACAGAACTTGATGGAACATAGTTATCCCTGAACCACTTCTCTGAATGAATCAAAACTGAGTCTATAATGAAAGTGTACCTCCTTTCCTGTGTTCTATCTTAATAGGTAGACAGTATTCATGCAGTTCAAAGTTGTTTCTAAAACACATCAAATACATACACAATTTTCCTTCGCAATTCCAGGGGTGTCATAAAACCAGTGGGCATCTTTCACATCTTGTGGGGTCAGATCTACTTGTTTAGTGGATTTATCTGCAGCTATAACAGGTTCATTTTCCATGTCAAAGGCCAGTGAATCAGCATCAAACTCAAATGTGGTTTCATCCTTCTGTTCTTCTGAATACAAGAATGTTCTTCCAACTCTTCCTAGAACAAGTTATGTTGAAGTTATTAGTCACTCCTTTAAAGCCTTTGACTCTAGACAGATAATTCTTATGTTTGTATCAAATAAGTTACTAAGACGACCAGCTCTGAAAATGAGATACAAGGATAACAGCCTTTTTTTTTAAGGCAGCAGGAGTCAGACTCTTGCAACGATCAAGTGTGTGGCTGGCTGTGTACATCTGGCATCGGGGGAAATACTGGAAATCAAACTGTTTTAGTAAATGAAGGTTGAGAAGAAATACCAAGGAAAGGGGACCATCTTACATAAAGCTGCCAACAACCTGCACTGGTCTGCAACGAGTGGGGACGTATCTCAGCGGGAATGCTTTTACTGCTGACGCTGGCTAGTTACTACACGATTCCTTTCCTGGATTTCTCCAAATATCTACTCTCTCAATTTTCTCAGCACCATGAATTCTGGGTTTGCCTCTCAAGGGCCTTGATCTTCCAGAATGAGGAAAGTAGCCTGTCCCTGCAAAAACTGGCTAGCCCCAGACAGCAGTATTTCAGGTTGCTCAACAAAGAATTTTAGTATAGAGGCCTGTACAGTGTGACTCAGTTAGTCGAGGGCTGGCCCCATAGACCAAAAGGCGGCAGGTTCAATTCCAGTCAAGGCACACAAGCCTAGGTTGTGGGGTTGGTCTTGGTTGGATGGGGTGGGGGTGGGGGGCGGCAGCAGCAGCAGATTGATGTTTCTCTCCCTGTCTTCCCCTCTCTCTAAGGTCAGTGAGCAGTCCTCGTGTGACTCTCCCTCTCTCTTTCCTTCTCTCTAAGGTCTGAGAGCATGTCTTCTGGTGAAGATTAAAAAAAATAATAATTTTAGCGTAGAGCCCCTCAAGAGTTTCCCCACAGAAGATGCTTACCTACTACATAACCATGCTTTTTTAAGAGACGAAGTTGATTTTGTTCTAGCTGACTAAGATCTTCTTCAGCTTCAGCTGCAAATTTTTTAAGCCTTTTTTGCCTTTCAAACATTCTGTAAGGAGTTGGGTTGCAAATAGGAAACTTCAGTAGGTTTAATGTAGTACCTGAAATACCAAACAATGTATTTTAATGAAGTTGCACAATGGAATAAGGGGAGGTCAAGTAACATTTTTCAAAGAGCTATACACTGTCTTTGAGTACTGTGATTTATTTCACTTAGCCTTTATGACAACTTTCTACAAAATCGTCCTTACTTCACAGATGATGAAATGGGTTCACAGACTGGCCCACAGGCTCAACCAGGATGTGAATCCCAGGTCTGCAGGCCTGATTTCTTTTTATTTTCACCACACTGCCATCCTACATAAAAGAACTGCTGTGTATAATTCAAGTAAAGTCCAGGACAGAGAACAGCTTACAAAACTAAGTTAAACACTGGTTTCAGAGAAACGAATGAGGCAGTTTTGCCAAATGTTAAATACAAACGGCCACAGAAGGACCCAATTTGCACCTCAAAGCCAAAAAATTGATATTTCTTCTCAAGAAAGCCATATTATCATACTGTGCTAGTGAATTATTACAATGTTAAATGTCTGTAGTTTACTGACCTCATGAGTAAACTTAAGGTAGTGGAGGTGGGTTTAGAAAGTCAAAGTACATTCCAGGAAAATACACAGTAAAGCTAAAGGGAAACCTCCAAGAGAGCAGGAATGGTTTTGTTGCCTGGCTTATTTATCTCCAATTCCTAGAACCGTGACTGGAACACAGAACTTCTCCATAAATATTTCTATTATTATTCTAAGCACTAAACTGACACTGAAGATAGGTGTGCCCAAAGAGAGAGAATTGTTCAGGTGAAGGCTCCAACAGTTCCTGGCAGACATTAACATCTCAGAAAACGAAGGGGTTTAGTAAACACATGATATACAATTGTGTGAAAACAAAAACAAAAACACGAAAGGGGCGGACCTCCTAAGGCTCACCAGGCCAAGAAGAGATAGTGGCTCGGTCAATAGCCTCCGGTCCCTTGGCGATGCAGTAATCTGACTCCAGGAGCGTGTTGAAGAGAGTGGACTTGCCAGCGTTGGTAGCACCAACCAGGTAGACGTCGCCGCGATAGCGCCAGGAGCGCTGAAGTGCAGTGATCAACTCTTCCACTCCATAGCCAGTCTTGGCGCTGATAAGCCTCACGTCCCTGAGTACAGTACCGGACCTGGCTGAATGATTCGAACGCTCCTCCCTATCTAGTGGCCCGCCCCCGCTGGGGTGCAGTGGCCCTCTGTGGCCAGGGGGCCGCAGGAGCCCGGCGCGGGCACAGTCTTCCCACAGCCGCTCCCGGAGCCTCTGTAGGTAGCCGGGCGCGTCTTGGGGCAGCAGGTCCACTTTGTTCCCCAGCACGATCAGCTGCTTTGGGCCTACCAGCGCGGGCAGATCGGGAAGCAAGCCGTCGGGCAAATCGAGCAAGTCCACCATGTAAAGCACCAGGGCGGGCTCGGGCTGCTGCAGCGCAACGCTCACCAACTCCAGGTACTGCTCGCGGCTCACTTGCAGGCGCAAGGCGCGCCGGTGGTGCACCAGTAGCCAGCACCGCTGGCACACGATCCGCGCTAGACTACCGTCGGCCTGCGCCGCGGCGCTAAGGAACTTCTCGCTGGGCAGGTAGCCGGGCACGACAGGGTCCTGGCAGTGCAGCTCCGCCCCGCAGCCCGAGCAGTTCAGGCCGCTGGGCGGCACCGTCGGGTCCGGGTGCCCCACAACCGGGTGCACCCGGAGGCTGTCGCGTAGCTTCTGCTGCCGCCGCTCCTCCCGCTGCTGTTGCTTCTGTCGTTCCTCCTCCTCCTGACGCTGCTGCAGCTCCCGCAGCTGCTCTTCTAGAGAGGGTTCGGGCTCTGGCTCTGGGACGTACTCGGGAAACAGAAAACGCTCCTCCAAGTCATCCCTTCCTTCGTAACCCCCACTCGCCGTCGGGCCAAGAGGAAGCCCACGTCTCAGGCCCGCTGGGTGCTGGGAGGAGATGGCGGCCGCGCATCGTCTCTGGAGATGCGGCTCTCGGAGGCGACGGCACACAAGGGTGGGAGTGGATCCCCCAAGTAATGGCCAGAGCACTCTAGCCTTAGCAGTTAGGCGTGCAGGCAGCATGGGGAGTCAGGTCCCGGACGAAGTGGGTGGAGCCACGTGCGCGCACGCGCAGTGGGGCCCGAAAGTTACCTTAAACCGGAGACTGAAGCCTTAGACATCTGAAAGATGTCATTTGTCAGCCGCCAAAAGTCTTCTCCCCCTCCCGCGTCTAATCCCGTAAATTCTCGCGATGAAGGTTCCAAGGTTTGAGAGCCCGCTTAATACTGCAGTAGAGGTGCCAGGACTTGGGCTGTGCTGGTTGTACTGAAGGGCTAGTGTGGGTTTGTCACTTTAAGGCTTCTTCAACAACCCACTGCTGGCACAACCACGCCCCTTAGTGGCGTTTTAAAAAGCATCGTTTCTTGTTTTTAAAATCGCAAAAACTAGAGCATTAAGTGTCGCGGACTCATGACTGCAACGAAAACTTTTTATTAATAAATATTGGCTTTTTTTTTCAGATGTCATCATTTGTGTAATAACATTGGAAAACAAAAAAACCTTCCTTGGCTGGATCCGACCCTGATTATAGTAGTACTCGCAATTAGCCACAAGAGGCGGTGGCCCACAATTTGCGCCTGTGCAATTCTAAGTGCAAGCAACCCAATGCCAAGCACTCGCGCAGGCGCAGATCTTAACACTAGCTTCTTAGTGGGTGGCCTCTGGCGGAAAACGCAGAGTATTCTGGGGACGTCGGAAGCGGAAATCACTTTGTCTCACGTTCCAGGTGCCGGTGGTTGCAGCGTATCTTTCTGTCTGTGATTTCAAGAATTAGGAGTTCGGGAACCGTTTGCCAATATGTATGACGCGGACGAGGGTACGTGACCACGCAGAACACACCTCGGAGACCCATCTAAGGAGGGAAATGTGGGGAGCTGGACTAATTGAAGATTAGCGGCCTCCCCCCCCAATCCCGCCGCGAAAGTGTCCGCAGTCGCGTTCCCCCTTACCTCAGACGGGAGTGAAGCTGGGATTGCGAGAGGTGGAGGGTGCAGGGAGTGTAGCAGTAATGTTCCCGATCAGGGTGATATTGTTCTCTCCACTGCTTGCTCCTTCATGAATCAGTACTATCTTCCCGCATTTTAAAAAGTGTGCAGAACCATAAGACAAATTCCTTTGTTTTGTCTTTGAAGTAGAGGGCGCTTTTTTCGTTTCCCTTAAGGTCAGAGTTAGTGGATTTCAGAGTAGTTGAATTCTTGAGCGTCAGCCTGTGCGAGGCATAGGGTAGGCTCTGGAAATACCATGGGGACAGAGGGTGGGGATTGGTCTAGCTCGCCAGTTCTTCATGCTGTCATGTGTAAGTAAGTCGTCTAAAAAGATGACCGTTAAATTTCCTCTTCCCCAAAATGATGGTTAACTAGGCCAGTATGTCTTTATTTTTTTTCTTTTCACATATATACTTAGTCATATCTGGTGTATTTTCATTGTGTATTTTTAAAGCTCCCTCTTCCATTCTCCACAGCTACTATTTCAAACTTAATTTTCTTCTCTCAATCCCGTGGCCACCCTTCACATTTCTTCTTATTCTGTCAGCTCTTTCATGGAAAAAATAGAAAAACAATTGCTTAAACTCTGCTGTTTAAACTTTTCTGTCTCATATGTGAGTCTAGAAATTTACTAGCATCATTATATTTTCCTTAACTCCTATCAGTAGAAAAGAAATTAAAAAATTTTTTTAGCTTTATCTTACAAGTGGGTAATATATTCTCATGTCTCACAGACAGAATTTATAAAAGTGTCAGGTCTCTTCTTCACCAGCTGCCCAGTGTGAAGCCCCCCCCCCCAGCAGGCAATTACTGTCCCTCCATTCTTATCACTTTGTAATTCTGCATGCATATTCAACTAAATAAATGGGATTTGGTTTCTCTCCACTACAGATGAATTTACACTTCGGTATTTTTAATTTTTTGCTTTATGTACATCTGGATTTTCATATTGGTACATAGAGAGTGTCCTCCCCACCTGCGCCAGCTACCTAGTTTGAGTGGATACCATAACTGAAATATGTCTTATTGATGGACATTTGGGTTATTTCCAGTTTTTTTCTGGTTCAGACCGTGTTGGAATTAATAACTTTGTACCTGTCATTTTGTCCAAGACAAGTATGTCTATAGGATAATTTCTAGATGTAGAATTGTCAGGTCAAATGATACATACATTCAATATTTTGTTAGATGATGGCTAAGTCACCACAGTGATTGCTTTAATTTGTCTTCTCCACAATCCTGTGGAAAAGGGATTTACAAGTTTTCCTGTTTATCAAGTCTGCTTCAGGATTGAATTTACATTTCATTCCTGCCAGTGTCCTTTGATATCTCAGTTAGATATGCCTCCATCAGTTTTCAGAAAAGGCGTATCTGAAAACTGATGGAGATTCAATGTAAAATATTAAATCTCTCTTGTCTGCAAAAATAAGTTAATATTCCATTTTTGCCTTTCTTCATTACCACAAGTTTTTAAAAAGAATAGGCTGTCCTTGTTTCTGATTTCCATTTTCAGGTTTTCCTCAATCCACTGCAGTATGATTCTGCTCATGTCAACACATTAAAGAGCTTTTATTAAGAGTATCAGTGATTTCTCAATTGGTATGTCAGGTGGTTTGAGAAAGAGAGCAAGAACATTAATTTGTTGTTCCACTTATGCATTCATTAGTGCTTCTCGTATGTGCCCTGAGCGGGGATCTAAACCACAACCTTGGCATATGGGGGGAGTGCTCTAACCAACTGAGCCACTTGGCTAGCACTGACATTTTAAAACTTTACCCAAACCCTGTTGTATTCAACCCTGTTGATGACTTACTCCTGGAAACTCACTCCTGCCTTTTGACACATCACTGTCACTTAATTCTTATCGATGTGACTTTCCTTCTTATGTCTTCTACTGTTCACATTATTCCTTCAAGATTTTCTCCATGACTTCAGTTACCATCAATATGTGAATGACTTCTGAAAATATATATCCAGGCCAGATGTTTTACATGTCTAACTGCTACTGGACAGTTTCATGTGGTTGTCTCCCAGGTCCCTCAAACTTGTCACTGCCCAAACTGAGAATTTTCTATTAGCAGTCCTTCTTCCAAAGATGCTTCCACCTATGCTTCCCATCTCAGAGAATAGTATCACCTTCCTCTGTTGTTGAAACCAGAGCCTGGGCATCATTCTTGATTCCTCTCCTTTACCCCTATATCTAGAGTCATCAAACCCTGGGGGTTCTCTCTTCTAAATACCTCAAACCTAGTCACTTCTTTGCCACAGTTCCAATTCAGAACATCACCATCTCTTGCTTGGACTATTTCCTCAGACTCCTTACTGTTTTGTGTGTGTCTAGTTTTCTTGCCTCTCCAATCCATTTTCCACAGGTTAGACATAGTGATTTTTCAGAAATGAAAATTTGATCTAGCTATATCCTTGTGTAAACCTTACACAGGTTCCTTAAAACTCTGTCAGTGAAAACCAAGGTCCTTGGCCACTTCCAACTTCATTCTCTGTTTCAGCTACATCGGTCTTATTTCTTGAGTAACTTTCATTGTGGAGTCTTTTGCACAATTTGTATTTTCTGTTTGGAATACTTGTCTATTTCTCCCACCTTCACCCTCTTCTTTTGCCTAGTTTACTCTTATTTATTCATATGTGAGGTCTCTGCCTAGCTCAGCTTTTAGAGAGTCTTTCCTAACCTCTTCAGGTCCAGGTTAGGACTATTCTTATTATTTTGTTCTTATTCCTAGTTGATTTCATCTTGTCTATATTTCCTTGGTAGGTGATACCCTCCTGGAGGATGCAGCTCTCTTTTTTATCTTGTTGAAGGTGATGTCTCCAATGCCTGGGACATAGTAAACACATTCAATATGTATTAGAAGAATGGATGAATGAATGAGTGGCCTTCATGGGGTTCATTTTCTTTCACATGGCTAACAGCAGTGTTCTGTAGCATTCTGCCTTCAGTCTTCTTTCTTTTTGGAAACACTCTGTACTCTACCAACTCCATGTTGATGTTTTCAACTTTTTGTAATTTATATGCCTCGAGTTTCATGTTTATCTTTGATTGCCTGCTATAAGTATTTAAAGGGATAAATGTTTTATAAGTACACCTAAAGCTGACCTCCTAATTTTCTTTCCTTTGTCCACCTTCTTACTTGCTTTTCCTGTGTGGCTTTGAAATTAACCTCTAATGATCAGAATCTGTCATCAAAGGTAGAAATCTCTGAGCTCTTTTAGATAGCTTTTTCTTTTTCATGTTCTATATTAGTTTATTTAAGCTTTATTAAATTCTTTTTCAGTTTTACTTTTCTATTACTGTTGACATTCAATATTATTATTTTTTTTTAGATTTTTAAAAAATTTTATTTAGTTATTTTTCAAGTACAGTTTGTCTATTTTTCCCATCCCAGCCTCCCCCGCCCCTTGTTCCCCTAGATAGCTTTTTCTTACCCCTTGCCCCATGTTAGTTATCAGTAATTCCAGTCTACTCAGGAACTTATTAAATAATTTATTTTGGATGTGTATCAAATTTTGAATCCAGAGCTCTTAAGTTTTACAGACTCTCTCTATATAGGTCAGAACATAAAAACAAAAATAGAGCACACTTATTCCTTAACATAAGATGAAAATAATATTAGATGATCAGCACACACTTTTTTCAAATGCTGTGGTGTTCAAATTATTATTGCTGCATACTACTCCAAAATTTGGTTGCCTAAAAATTAATATGTTCATGGATTTAAGTGGTCAGGAATTTGGAGAGATCATAGTAGGAATGACTTGTCTGCTCCACATCAGTAGTTCACCTGGGAAGACTCAAAGACTGGGTGTTGACAGGAAGCTGGGGGATGCAGGATCTGGAGTGTTTACTCACATGGCTGGAGAGCGGTTTAGGAGGACTCAAGGACTAGGATTGCTGACTGGTAGGACAACAAGTAGCATCTCCATATGATTCTGGCTTCCTTATTGTAGACAGTTTTAGAGTAGCAGGACTTCTTAATGACAGTTTTGGGTTCCAAAAGCAAGTGTTTCAACAAGCAAAGTGAAACAATATTGCCTTTCCTGACCTAGCTTCTAAAGTCACTTAACGCTGCTTTAGCAGCATTGTCTTAGTTATGGGGGAGTAAAAAAACCTGCCCAGATTCAAAGGAAGGAAACGTAGACCCCTATATCTTGATGGTAGGAATGTCAAGATCATAAGTAAAAAAGCTTGTGAAATGTTAGATATGGTTGGAAGATACCATCTGTATATACATGTACGTTTATGAAATATTGCTGTA